GGGGGAACATGTAGGTGCCAACTGACAACACTTATATTGGGTCAGAAATTGTGCCGTCTACATATTTGCATGCAGACTCACAAGTATGAAAGGGCAGAGCTTATATTATGATGTCCTGACACACATTTTGTCATTTTGTCATCACTGTAGCTAGCTACAAACGTCTGGGTCTCAGAAAGACATGTGATGTCAGATCCTCTGGCTTAAACTTGGCAGAAGCTATCCAAATAGTTGTCATGTCAGACTACACAAGGATTTATATTGTATATAAAGCTTGATCTTTAAGTTATAACACTCTCTGCCAACATAAAATGGAGACTTTCTTATACCTGGGGTTGTTCTTTTTGGCACTTCATTAACCTGCCTGTTCAGATTAATAAACATTCTGTCTTGAGTTTCTCACTCTTAGAGGTTAGTGACCAATGGCAGTTGACATAGCAATAGCAATAGCACTTTGACTTAAATATCGCTCCATAGTGCTTTACAGCACTCTCTGAGCAGTTTACAAATATTGCCCCCAGCAATCTAGGTTCTCATTTTACTGACCTCAGGAGGATGGAAGGCTTGAGCTGGTTAGTGGTCAGAGTTAGCCTGCAACACTGTATTCTAACCACTGCACCACCACAGCTCCACCACATAACCAACATATTGCTCCTGAGAAACTCTATGACTTAATATAACTTCTACATACAGCTGGTGCAGTTTAACATGCAGTTTCTAGAGCTCCCCAGATTGGCATAAAATTCAATTTTCATATGAGGTAAGAAGAAACAAAGTATATATGAGTAATCAAAATTATAAATTTGATTTACAATCAAATTATATAAAAATATTTATTTTTAATTTTTTTATTTACTTATTTTTATTTTTAAATTTATTTTCCCCCTGTCCATTACTTCATCTTTGGCCTAACCTCCTGGCCATGTGAGGACTTTAAGCCAAAAGAGGTTGACATTTTGCTCTAAAATTTCACTCCCCCCCCCCCCCCCCCCAGAAATGTTTGTTTTGGAGAAGCTACAATATACTCTTCAAGAACAACTGATTTTTAGCATCTATCTGATGCTAAAGATGATGTAAAGATCATGTATTTTTTCTCATAGTCAATAAATATGCAGTTTTATATTCTGTACACATTACTAAATAATACATAAATAAATAGCCACAGAAAGCTTAAGCTCTTTGAAATGTATTTACCTCAAGACCCATCCAGAACTGTAGGTCTTTTTCTAAACATCCTCTTCCTCACTGTCTGAATTACTAAGATTTAGCTTGTCTCTAAAGCTGATTCTAAAAATTCTGCCACACATCATCCAAGTGTAAATAAATAACCTTTTCCCCTATATTAGATCTCACGTAATTTAGCCGGATATGGAAAAGACAGTGCGCCAAAGACATAAAAAACAAAACTTGGGGTTTTCATGCCACAAATATCACTCTTCCTACTATATTGACTCTAGACTCTGCACATTCTCACTTTGATGTATTTAAAAGGGATTATGAAGTTCACACCATGAAAAAAAGTTTTTCATCTAATCTTGGTGACATACACTTATGAAGATTGGAGAAATATGTCTAGATGCTTAACAGGGTGGCCCTATAAAGTTGACTTTAAAAGTGATTTAGTCCTACTATGTTCAGTGGGTCCACAGGAATGCAATGTAAGAAAATTTAAAAAAATGAGTTTTGTTGTTGCTGTTTAGAAGTAGGTTTTAGGGACTTCTGGAAGTTGCAGTGCTAGCATTGCTGGTCAGAAGATGCCCACAGCTTAGGAAAAAACATGGAAACACATCAATTATTCAAGCTAAACATATATTGAAGCAAGGTCAAGGAAACCTTTTCTTTTCTGTGAAGGGCTATGTCCTCTCCGGTACTGTGAAATATCCAATATTTGTGGTCAATAAACCAGCTGCTCTTTTTTTCTGGAGGAGGTGGGTGCGAGGGAATCCCTTCCACTGTCTACTCTGGGGGATATTCCAGTGATTGGAAAGCTAGTCATCTCTTCATCCTAAATGCCTATTACAAGTACATAAAATTTAACCACTGCAGCTGGGACGAAGTGGTGAGAAATGAAATGACCCAAGGTTCTTTTCTACCACTCACAGCAAAACTGCAGGGAACTAAACGTGCCAATTGTATCGTTTACATACTTTAAATAGCAATCGTTGTGATGGCCAGCTGGAGCTTTCTCACTGCACTAAAATGCAAATTGAAGGCAACAGAATTTTCTCAAGGTCACAATACTAGAAATATTTCCCAAACATAGTAAGATTACAACTTTTAGCATTCCCAACAAGCATTGCTAATGGGAAATTCTGGGAGTGAAGCTACTTTGCAGCTGAAGAATAGGAGGGGGCGAAGAAGAGCCTGAGCTCAGCACATTTTGGTTTATTCATCAAACTATAATTAAGCAAGCCACGAATGTGTTCGTTTGCAGTGCAAAACCAACCTCTATGTTATTGCAGAGTTTTCCTTCTGAGCTCCGTTCCACAATCAGCGGTTCTATGAAGCAGCTATGTACCCGGTTATGACATGTACAATCATACAAATCTCTGAATCCTGGGCAACTCTAGATGTTATGTGAAGTCACAATAGAGACTACTAAAGAATGGCTCAGATAAATAGCATTTAGAAAAACCTTAATACAACAAACAAAATGTCCTGGAGTTTTACATCGATAACAGGACAACCCCAAAGCCTTAACAAAATGGGCAAAAGATGTTGACAACTGAACTCCTGCCACAGCTGCAGGTTCTCTGTTCACTTGGCTTTGTTCTCTGCCACATTAGTTTCTCCCTTGTTCAGGATCCCAAGATATTGACGTTAGAGCATATTCTATGTATGTATGTCAATGTATTGAACCAGAAGGAAAATGAGGGCTTGCTGTCCCGATTGGATATATAGGAATTGGTTTATTGAGCTGTTATGAATCTACACAATCCTTTTTGTTCTATTTAGGGCACAACTGAAGAGGAACATCTTTCTAGACTAAATACTGCCCCCATCAAATAAGCACTACATAATCCATTTGCTTCCAGTTGCACTGTGCGGTTTCCCTCTTGGCCCTTTCCTGCAAATCTTTAGGAACATTCATAGTGCAGGGTCATCATCCTGAGAGCCATTGATTAATAGGATTCTTCAGGCTACCATTAAAATCATTCTACTTTCTCTGTGTTGCTCTTATAGAGTTTGTCTTTATCATTGATAAAACCCTCTCAGTGAGCCACAGCACTGCATCTCTAAGCATCTCTAAGCTAATCATCCTCAGGATGGCTCACTGCTAATAAGTGGCCTGGCCCTTTTACCATCCAACGAAATGCAATGTAGGTAGCTACATCATTTCACAGGAGAGAGAAGGCAGAACTACTGGAATGTGCTTGCTTGCACTTGGATCCAGACATATTGATGAGAAAACATTTAGGATGACATCTGCTGAAAAAGGAATGACAGGGTAAAAATGGTTCCATTTAAAGAGCAACAAAGTGGTTGGCAGCAGTGCTGCCTGGTTTCTGCATCTAATCAATCTTTTACAACAGAGCCTCCATGCCTCCTTTCAATGCTGAGAAGCTTTATAATATAAAATTTATGTGCATATGTCTGGTCTTAAAAATACAGTGGGGTGGGGGTGGGGGGGCTGCTCTGAAATCACTTGCCCTGAAACATCATGAAACTGCCAGAAAAATAACGAGCAGCAGCACCTTGGATCTCACAGGCAGAATGGTCAGAGCCCCACAAGACAGTATATATATTTTGTATATGGAATCCCCCCACCCTGGACACTCTGAGTTTAAAGAGTCTGAACAGATGCACTTAGAAAAGAGTTCTGCATGAGCAGCAGCTGTTGCAGCAGACAATAATAAGTTAGATCATAGATCAAGGAAAGCCTGGAGTTTGCAAAAAGGCACCAAATTTATTTATTCATTGTATTTACTGGCAGTGTAACAAATTATTCTTGGGGAATATTACATAACTAGACACAGCAGAAAATGATTGTAACAATTTACCAGGTGGAATTTAGATGCACAGATTATGACTAGCATTATCAGACCAGAGTCTACAGTTGCTTTTTTTAATGACCCAGTTCACATATAGTGGCTTAATCTGTAGTTTAAGTAAACCACCATTGGCTCATTTCCCATAATATAATGAAACACTCTGGTTTGCAAATGGATAGCTACTGGCTGACTTTTCATAATGTAGTATTGTAAACCAAAATAAATCCATATTAGGGCTTAAGGTGTGTAAACTGAATTAATCCTCTTGAGCAGGGATTTGGAATGTAAGTAGAAAAGGAATAACATCAAATGTAGTTTCCATACCATGATGGGCTATGTTTTTATTTTAATAGAAAATGTTGACTCTTGTTTTGTTTTCATTTAACAACTAATTACCCCAACTTCCCTCAGTAAATGTCTCCTATTCAATTTTCCGAAGCTTGGATGTTTATTACATTCTGGAAATTATTACTATAACAACAAATTGCCTTCCAGCACTGAAGGCAATGACATGTGCCAACTTCGGTGGATTCTTTTGTTAATATCATGTATATCTTTTTGGCTTTCTTTTAGCTTCTTCTGCAGGAAGATCAAAGATATTCAAGCTCTTTCTTTTTTAGATTCACTGAAGTAGCAGAGCTAGAAGAACATGTATTAATCTTGTCGCCAAGTACCTATGCTTCAACAGAGAATATTAGGAGCCAAAAATACAACACAGCAATACTAGCCTGAGAACTATCCTCCCCCTTTTCCCTTTGCCCTGAAGGAGCAGAATCTCCCAGGTTCTTCCTTCAGAAAGCAGAGGTGTTTCTCCATTTGCCCTGTGTTTGTTAGCTAAAGATTTTGAAAAATTCTACTGAGACTAAATTCTCTTCCCCCCCCCTTTGATTCATAGCCAAGAGAGGAGTTCCTGGCAGCCCTGTCTCCTCCCCTTCTCCTCTCCCTCCCCTCGTCTCCTTTAAAAGAAGGAACTGTAATACTAGCACCTTATTTTCTTGCAGACTAAAATTGAGATCCAAACTTGCTCTCTCCTTGGTGCTGTGTCTGCTTCCACCAGAGTGGAACTTTTGCTTCCTTGCTGCAACCAGAGTGCAAGGATCAGAGAGAGCCAACTGCAGCAATTCTAGGAGGTTTTGCAAGACTTTACACACATATTTGCTGCAGCAAGAACCATTTGCTCACCTGTCTGCAAACATAACAACTGAAGGCTCAAAACTGTTCCTCAACCAAGGCTACCACTACTCTTTGGAAAGACGGCTGGTGGGGAAGCTCAGCCCAATGATTCCAAGCCAAGGGCTAGTGTAAGTCAAATCAGAAAAAAAAATGAGGGACTTGAAGATCTTCATTCTCCCTGTATGGTTTTCAATGAGTGAAGTTTAATGCTTTGAAGAAACAATCTAAATAATTTTGCTTTTGCCAGCAGACTTTTTTTATCTTTTAAGAGGAACTGATTTCATGTGAACTGCCAAATCTAGGGAAACAGACCTTACACTGCACTCCTAGGGGTATGTAGATGGAAGAGACTGATTTTGGATGGCTAAGGTTTTGATGGGGACATGACTACATTTTTATTTTTACAAATACCTTTTTCTTCTCTACAGAGAAGGCAGACTAGTAATCAAGTCCCTCCACTCTGGAACTATTAATTTTTTCCCCTTTAAGAGTATATATTATTTTTTGGAGAAAGTTTACTGTGACTGAAATGAGGCAGTGAAGAACTCTACACTTGATATACAGACAATTCCATTGAGGGCAGATCTTCACTCTCAAGTCTGCCTGAACTGGGGAAATCTTAATTCTTTGGTGTTTTTTTTTTTTTTTGAAAAGACTCTCCTTCAATGTGTCTGGAACTTTTGGGGATTGGAGTCGGCATGAATTTTGGACTGCTTTTCGTGTCTCTCTGTTACCTGCCACTCATCAGCAGTGAGGTAAGTACTTGCCTTTAAAAAAACAAAATAACAAAAACCTCCTGGTGAACATCAAACTAATGATAAAACTATATGCAAAGGGTAAGAAACACAAGTAGGTAAATACCAGCAAGAGGTCAGTGCAAAAGGGTGTCCGCAGGATATCCCCACTTTTTCCCTTATAGAGCGCAGAAATTAATTAAATTAAACTGACATCTTGGTCACTTTTTTTGAAAAAAAAAATCCTGAAAGAATTATTCTTTGGGGGGGAGTTATTGATTCCAATATTTAGAAAGACAATACAATCTTATGCATGTTTACTTGGAATTCCCAGGAAATTAAATGTGATTTAATCCCCAGAAAGTGTTAATACAATTGGACTTTAATCATAATAATTGTCAAGCAGCTGCTCCTGGAAGTGCCTTGTTTATGGTTGTCCAGTCTGGGTAAATACAGTCCATGTGGCCTTTTCATTTTCTCCTAACATGGAAAAAATGCTCCTACAGCCAGTTTGTCAGAACTAGAAAATCTTTTTTATTTTTGCAAGCCAAGATTTCAAGTTAAGCTATCAATATCATATTACATGAGAACATAATGTTGATGCTGTGACACTGTTTGTCCATCTGTGATTGATACACTTGTAACCAGTGATTTTTATTTCTCAAATACCGAAGGGGGAAAAAGTTTCATTGGCACCCTCATTTCCAGTATATTCTAGCTACACTGCTAACTAATGCATATGGTTTGTTATGCTTTTGAAAGGTAAGGAGCATCTTGTACAATACCAGATTATCTTAGAAGATCCCTAACATAGGGCATGGATGAAATGGAAGAACTCTACTTGGGAATTCAGCCCAAGTACCTGCCATACAGAGGGTGGGAGTGAGAGAGCCTCTGTTAGTTAATGGAGGGAGCCTGGCATATTTCTTACTATGCCCAAGGGAGCTGGTCTGAATGAAACAAGCAAAGGTTTCTCTCTCACACACTCCTACAGTGGGAGGGTCAAACTAAAAGGAGTTGGAGAAGCTAGAGTACTGGCTGGCAACTGAATTCCAACTGAGGGATACTTAGCTGGGGATGTAGTCTTCCAGCTGTTCCAAGTTGGAGCTGCCACGGGAGAGATCCTGTATCGGTTCCAAACAAATGCCCAAGAGGAAAGACAGGGAATGTGAAGATTGGGTAGGGAGGAGTTCTTAAAGGGCCAGATCTGCTGGATTTCCCTTTGATCTGGGAGAGAAAACTCCCTGCAATTTCTACATGCATTACTTTTGGTCCTACTCACCTCTGTTGACACTTAGGGGTACATCAAATTCTTTGATGTGGGGGTTGGGTTTTTTTGTTTTTGTTTTGTATTCTTTGGACCTCTTCTTGAAAAAAGGGTACAGCCAACTGTCAACCAAACATCAATTTAAGAGGCAGGCTCCAGTTCTTTAATGCTGAGTAGGTGTGCTGCTTTCACGAATCCAAAAATGGCAAGAATTCTTCTGCCAAGAAGCCATACCTGGTACCGGCAGAAAATAATCAAAAGGGGGTAGTGAGCACACAGCCAAGAAAGATGCAGCAAATTTGGAAATGCCTAGTTTAAGGGAGAGACTGCACAATAGGGTTGTTTTAAAGAATGGAAACTGCCTCCATTTTCGGAGAAAGAGGCAATCTTGCAATACCATTTACAGAGGCGCAGAGGTTCAAATAAACCTGTATCATGCCACACCCCTTTTTTGCCAAAAAAAAAAGCAGGTGGAAGGAAGCCAACAAAAAACTTCGCGTTTGCCCTTAATTTGTACCTATTACTAAGACCGGCCCAGAAATTAATGAAACGCTGTATAAGCGAACCCGGGCAGGGGGGGGATTCTCCTCCGGGGGTCGCTGCGGCTCGCCTGCCCCCTTCCTAAAGCGACAGAGGCTTCCCTACCAGACGGTTTGTTTTAGAGACTTTAAGACAAAAATCGGTACGCAGTTTCCTGAGCAAGAGAATATCTGGGAAGCTGCCAAACCTCAGGTTACTTGTGTGCCCACAAACCTGTGCAAAGAATTCTTCTTTTGTTCTCCGGGAGTAGAGAGCGGAGCGGAGGGGAGGGGAGGGGAGGGAGGGAGGGAGGGGGAAGGAGGTGCGTCACGCGCTCCTCGACGGCCTCCTCTGAATCCCGCTGGAGGTGGTCGCAACAACGAAAACCGCCGGACCCGCCCGGGCTTTATCCAACCGAAGGGGAGGAAAGGGGGACAGGCGCACCTTGGGCCCTCCTCTCGCTGCTCGCGGGCGGTGCCAAGCCCCTCTTCGCTTCTTCTCCCGGGCTAAAGCGAAACAGGCGGGGGGGGGGTGTTGCTAAGAGATTTTCTCGGAGTGGGCAGCCCTCTCGGCCTCCAGTGGCAGTCAGTCTGTGTGGGTAGCACCTCCCCAATGCTGTTGTCCTTGCTGCAGTCCTCTTGGTCTCTTTAGAGGTTCCCCGTTAAATACTGGGATAAATGTCTGCGGCGGTAATTCCAGAGGTTTTTAAGTATCTAGCAACGCGGTAGCGCCTCTCTTTGCAGGGAGTGGCAAGTTGAATGGTGACCTATTAAAAAAAAAAAAAGTAAACTACAGTAGTGCGTTACTAACAATAGGTAAAGGCCAGTAGTGAAGGGGGCTTGAGGCCCCAGTAAAAATTCCTAGAGCCTTGCTGTGCGGTAAAAGACCTTTAACAGATTAACATAGTTGGAAGGGACCTTGTAGGTCATCTAGTTCAACCCCCCCTTCTCCCCCCCCATGCAAGAGACCCTACACCATTTCTGACAGATGGCAGTCCAATCTTCTCGTGAAAGCTTCCAGTGATAAAGCCCCCACAACTTCCGAGGGCAAGCTGTTCAATTGGTTGATTGCTCTCACTATTTGAAAATTTCTCCTTATTTCCAGGTTGAATCTCTCCTTGTTCAGTGTCCATCCATTATTCCTTCTCTGCCCTTCAGACAAGGACCTTCTCACCCTTGTCTTGATATTGGTGGGTTCTGTATCGTCTCATTCACGGGTGTCAAACTTGCTGTGTCATGTTGCCATCACCTGACGTTTTGTGATGTTTTTCCCCTTTGTGGAGCTGGGGTGGGCGTGGCCTGCACCTAATGCATCTGGCCTGTGGGCCGCTAGTTTGACACCCCAAAATTATTTTGGTGTGGAATCTCATCATATAGACAGACCTTCTCCATGACATCTCTCTAACCTGGCTTTCCAGGTTTTCCAAGGTTGCATCCCTTGCCGCTGTAGTTGCATATGCCAACCTTGTTGCTGATCATGCTTTTCCTTCCACTTGTTGCAGCAATAATAAAGTTTGGTTTGTGAGCAGGATTGGTAAGAAAAAGGATAGCATATTGATAAGTTCTCTTCAAGGACTTATGCTTCAGAACTATTCATAGGTAGCTTTGGTGTTGTATCTCTTCTAAATACTTCTAAATACAGTACATGTATTCTAGGTTGCAATGAAATGATACAGCAGCTGCCTATGTAGCCATCAAAAATTTTATTAGGCATTGTGCCTTTTATATTATATTATTGTTCGGGTATTTTCCCACGTCATTATATTTGTGCTTTTAAAGTTGTAGCAACAACTTTAAAAGCACAACTATAATGACGTGGGAAAATACCCGAACAAAGCTGAATATCATACATACATACATACATACATACATACATACATACATACATACATATGCAGGTCTTGGTGTGTTCGGGTCTTTTCCCGTGTAAGATTGAGGGTACCTTGGCAACATTTCGACGAGGTCCCACTCGCCATCTTCAGGCTGGTGCTTTCGGCTTCATGCTTATGCGAGCAAAGCGTGATGGGAACTGCCATCTCCCTATATATACTGGTGGGGAGGTTGGCTGTGTTGTCATTTCTTGATTGGTTGATGGAGTTGATGTTTGCAGATTGGCTGGCTTTTTCGTAAGAACATGTGTGGCTGAGGTATTGGCTGTGTGTCTATCAGCCTCCTGTGTTGTAACGACCTGGGTAATGGGCTGTGTGATTACCTTCTGAGTTCTGTTGTTTTGACATCCTGGGTCTTGTGCTGTAATCTTCTGGGTTGTAATGACCTGAGTCATGGGCTGTGTGATGACCTTCTGAGTTCTATTGTTGTGACATCCTGGGTCTTGTGCTTGGACCTCATTGAAACGTTGTCAATACCCTCAATCTTACATGGGAAAAGACCCAAACACGCCAAGACCTGCATACCTGTACCCGTGAAAATCTACGAATATGTATATATATGTATATATACTGTATATTCTGTAACCTTTTTAAAATTCAGTTTGGAAATTTGCTATAGAGAGAAGGTAGATTGATTTATTTTGAAAGATGGAATTTCTCAAATGAAGTTGCCATAGTTAAAGGCATGAATAGGGTGCCATAGTTGTTTAAAGGCATGAATAGGGTGCAAAACAGCATAAATTTATAAAAGATACATTTGTATAAATTGTACCTTTTTTCTTAAAGATATGCGTTATGATTTGATTGTATGTACTCTGAAAAATAAAAACTACTTTTGGTATTTGAGCAATATAAAAGGGCCTCCATTTGTTTGCCGATAGATAAATTAGCTCAGCTCATGGGACAGGTAAGTATTCTACTGCTTGCTACTGTTGCAATAGGAAGAATAAAATTTCCAGGTAAAGCTGTTTGTTTTTAATACTTCTAAAATGCAACCAACAGAGCCAATGTGATATTAAGGTGTCAGAATGGAACTAGGGAGACCCAGTTTCAAGATAATCCTTAGTCATGGAAAAAGTATGGAAATGTTGGATTAATTATATCCCACTCTACCTCACGCAGTAGTTGTTTGGATAAAATCAAATCTACTTATAAGCCACCTTGATCTCTTGAAGACAGAGCTGGATATCACTCTAACATATACATGTGAGTTGCTTAAGGCTAAATCAGCCATCTATTTTGTCTATAGTTAGGTAAACGATATTCCATCAAACACCTGCATTTGGGTACCATGTGCATCCTGCTTTTAACTATCCCAGAATATGCAAGAGACAAGTAAAGGCAGAG